GCATAGAGTGGGGCTTGGGAGCGAGCACACACCAGTGCCCCCATAAAAAGCAGCCTGCTATTAGAGGCATTGGTCAAGCAGGGCCAAGAGTGCCAGCAGGGTACCAGAGAAGAAGAGGATCGTGGCTGCTCTGTGCAAAACCATTACACAGATCAGGTAATTATGGCATGTTTGTTAACAAAAAAAACAAGAAAGCATGCCTTTAATGCACGTGGGTAACAGAGCAACATAATGTGATTAGTCTTCCTTTTTCTAACCAAAGCAAAATAAATTTTGTCTGGGGTTGTGATTTAAATGAAACACTACAACATTTTACATGCGCTTTAACAAATTATTTTCAGCAGAAAGCCTGATAAATAAACAAGCTACAAAATGAACTTCTTTAAACATTTTAATTCTATTTATAAAAGAACATTCTCTTCGGTGTCCACATAAAATTTAAAACCCAAAAGTAAAATCCTACTCAATGTGAGTAAGACTTACAATGGGTAATGGTTGTAACAATGTTAATACTGCCATTGATGGACAGAACGGTGAACCAAATGAAGGTTCTGTGACAACACTACATATGATAGCATTACTGCAGAGTGAGCATGTACAGATTTACTGGGACCTTCCAAAGCCTCCTACAAAATGTACACGGACCAATCTCGACACAGTTCCTTGTCAGACAGGAGATTACTCACTGCTACAAACAAATATTAACAGCAATTCAATCTCTAGAGTCACCAGTGATTTGTCACTACAATGTGACTAGTTCCTCTAGTAATGCATTAGGTTGGTGTGCTCTGTTACAAATTACTCTCCTTTAGCAATTTGTAGCTAAGAGTCAGCAAAAAGGGCAGAAGCAAGTCTGAGCTCCACAATACTAATGCATTGGAAGGGGCCATATCAACAACTTGTTTCCCAGTGGAGCACATGCAGGAGACTACCAGTATTAATAGGAATGCTCACAAAATTGGGCTTCTGACAGGAGTAACTGCCAGATTGTAATGGGAGGGAAAAAACAAAGAATTTGCAATTTTGATGCGTTTTACCACGTTCCAGTGCAGTTCTGTCCAGCATGTTCTACTTTTTATTCTGCAACCGGAAAACACTGGAACTGCAAGCACTGATGTGAACTATGACATTGACAACCATATAACCTACTTTATGTGCGTTTCGGATACAGAAAAAAAAAAAAAGCACACAAATGCATGTAGTGTGAACTGGCCCTAAAGGATAAGTTCACCTTTGGGAATGATTTTTTTTACCTTGGGAACGAGTTTTAGGATGGAGCATGTATCATTTTGTATTGTTACTGTATTGTCTCCCACTATAATGTAAAGCACTGAGCAAACCGTTGGCGCTATATAAATCCTGTATAATAATAATAATTTTCCCAATGCTGCAGCCACTGCCCGCCGCTCCTCTTCCCTGTGACAAAAGTATTGGGAGAAATTCCACGTATAAGCTGTCACTTTTTAAAAACAGCGTGGTTGTGCGGGGCTCCATCCTCACGGCCATGTCACATTCTGTGAGCGAATAAACTACAACAGAGGGGCCTCCTTCAATCTGGCACTGGAGGTTCATTGGCTTTCCAATCCCTTCAGGTCCTCCCCAGTGATTCTATTGGTCCACTGCCAGTTAGTACACATATAAAAAGGGTCAGCAGCAGTTGGCGATTTGCTGCCGCTGGAACTGTATGCAAACGATATCTCTGTCATATCTCTATCTTTTTATTGACCATGTTTTTATGCATCCCGGATTCCATGTTCTCATGCACTAGATAGTGGTGGGTAAATTTTTCCCTTTTCAGACATATATTACCTGTATGAACCAATTTTGAAAATAGTCTTTAAAAAAACTTTTTTTTATCATACTCTATGGTGGCTCCAGTGGTGAAATTCCTGGCCACCCCTATGGGCCCTCTCCACAGGCCTCTCTTATGCCCTGTGGCCTGGCAGAACAATGTCGATATTACTTTTAATTTGTCTATTGCAGTGGATAAATATCTTGGTAAAATGCACATTAAGGTCAGTAATGACTCTAATGGAAATAGGATAAATATCTATGATAATGCATTGATGTTAATGTAATGCATATTTTCTGAAATACAGCACAACTTAGATGCATAGAAAGCACCTCTGAGGAAAGAGGAGACGTTGAAACGTGGCAGTTGCTGTACCTCTGGACTATCTATGCAGTACCTTACGCTCTACTATGTAGCAATGTACATGCGCACATATTCTCTGTAGCCACAATATTCAGATGTTCATGGTTTCTCTTAACCAGTAATTTTAATCCTTTGTATCAATAACAAATCTTGTATATTTTTATATAAAAAGTTTTTTTTAGTTGTTTAGGTAGCCTTGAAAGTCCCATGCACTAAAGGGTATGCGTGGTTGTAAGAAACTTTAGTATTTCTGGATAAATGGTGTAAAATTAGAGATGGCTAAAGTTCTGGAGCCACACAAAAAATATAGGCCCCAGTGTAGTTCTCCTGATAGTCTCTTCAGGAGCATTACTGACCAGGAACACGTTTGATTAGAATAGGAATTCAGACTTTTCATACTTCACCAGCACCATGCTTCTTCCAGGATCCTATTAATAAAACACAAATGTTCCCTTACTCCCTAAAACACAAATGTTCCCTAAAAAACATTAAGGCTTTTAGTCTATATTAATTATATTAGATAGGGGGTTCTAAACAAATTAGAAGCAAGTATGTCAGGGCTGTACAAAGCAGCACATTAGATTCCAGCTATAATTTTTTAGCTCAGTTTTGAAAGTAAAAGCAAGTAATTTAACTTGAAGATGGTGAACAAACACCCACCCATAGCCTTCTACACAAGATATGATATGTATAGATTTTCCATTGTGTCCCAGCATCCTCACTATAGAAAAGTCTCAGGGTCCAAAGCTTCTGGGCTACAGCTCTGCACCTTTCTGCTATTATTGTACTAAACATATCCACTATGGAGAAAATGACTCTGTAGATGTATGCTGATCCTGGTTGGGCCCACCTCTCGTAATAGCCACAGAACCAATGTAGAATATACAGTCTCTAAACTGCTATTATGAACATTGCATTAGGTTAACAAAGTATTGCAACAGGAACATTCAAGAAAGCCATTGGGCATCTTCTATTGTCTTGCAGAAGCCTTTTTGTTAAACCAATTCATCAGATTGATATACTTATGTGATAATACAGTTTTTCAAGTTGTGTTTTAATGTATAGCTTTCCAAGCAGCATTTAACCTTGGCTGCAGCAAGGCAACTGTCATGGGAATGGATGATATTAGGGATTAAAGTTGTCCCTTATTCTCACAATGCAGGAGAGAGTCTGGCATGCACCCTTACCAGAATGATCAGACAAACAGAATAGGCACTTAAAAGGTGAAACTCACCTAATGCTTGAAGAACACAGCTTTTACCATATAACTGAATGTCACATCATGGCGACCACCAAGGCATTGCCCTCTCTAGGACAGCATTCACCATACATTTCTGCTAAGTATCCACTATGGAGTCAGTAATACTGGCATCAGCCTCCAGGAGACTCACAAAAGGAACAAATGTAGAATGCAGTACAGAGAAGGAAGACAGTCCAAATTCCCAATAAAGGGGAACCCCCCCCCAAAAAAAAACTTATTGTGAAAACAGCACAATGTAAATAAGTTACCTTTACCAATTAGTATCCAATACCCACAGCACTATCCGTACTGTATAAATTGACAGTTTCATTCATGTCAGATATTACTTGGGAGCATCTTTCCTCCAGAGTTCTGGCTAAAGCACAGTGCAGGTAATATGACATTCATTCTCCCCTTGTCTATTCACACAAAAATAAATCTAAAATGCATTCTATGGATAGACAAGGTAAAATCCTGTCATCTACCTGCCCCTTCTTTTGTTCTGTCCATTCACATTGAATGCAATAAAATGAATGCAAGGCTTGTTATGAATGAATGATGAGGTGTAAGGACGGAAAGAACAAGCAGCACAATCCCAGCACTGTGCTATTGTTGGAACTTTCATTCACAACACTGGAAGGAAAGCATTGTGAGTAATATCCTGCATGAGTGAAATTCATTTATATTGTACTGCAGACAAAGGATACTAATCATTAGAGGTAACTTATTTGAATTGTACAGTTTCCAAAAAAAAAAAATATATTATAAATGTATTTCTGGAGCTCTCCTTTAATGACTTGGTGGGCACTGGCACAATCAGAACAGGCTATATCGAAGCCCAACAGAGAATGTAATTCTTTCATACTATACCCAAAACCTATTAAAAAAATAAATAAATGGTTGGCTGGGGTTACAGGCAGAGGCTTACTATATATTTTATTTACCATGTTGGGAATTTTTGGTGTAATGTGCAAGTTACACTTCTCTCAGCTGTATCATAAACCAAACACACAGCTGTTCGCTCTCAACCCTGCCCACTGTTTATCCTCTGCCCCCACACTTCAGGTCCCAGCCCTCCAGTTCCTTGGAAGAGAGGCACTTGACACCAGGGAAGTCTATGGGGATTTCATGAGTTCCCAGAGTACATAGCACAGACTTTAAGCATGGGAGCAGGTGAGGATGCAGGCCAGAGCCAAGATTTTGCTCCAGCATATCTGGCAAAGCATGCCACAGAAGTTTACATTGCACATTACACCTACCACCATCAACACTTCCCAGAGTTTACCTTTAATATCTATTTTATGTATAATGATGCCACTGTATAGAGCTCTATACATTACAATAGAAAATAGACTGCAGGACAATGAATGCAAAGACATATCTACATTCAAGTATGTGGTGTGCAGGTAAGGAATGTTCCATAAAATATAAACAAGATTTTCTCCAACCACACTTAATAAAGTAACTATACATTCCATGAAAGTCTTTCAAAAATGTCTTAAAAAAAAAAATAAATATCTTTTAAAGGGCAGCTTTAAACACATAATATATTGGTGTGACCACACCTCTCTGGAATACACCTTGACGTAGAGAACAGTAGAATCCTTAATTGAAGTTAGTTTTTCGTAAATGTCTATTTGGTATTTCTATTGCGCTGACTTGAAGAGGCCATGAGCCTCCCATAATTCCTGCCTGTATTGCCACTCCTGTCACTACAGCCAGGTCAGGGTCAACCGATGTGTTGGGCTCCTTGCCAAAAAAGTCCCTAATAACTTGCCGAATACGAGGTATACGTGTGGATCCACCAACGAGAACAATCTCATCCACTTCTTCCTTCTCAAGGTGTCCCTCTTTTAAGACACGTTCTATGGGCACCAGAATCTTCTGTAACAGATCCTCATTCAAGTGCTCAAAGAGCTTTCTTGAAATTTCTGTTTTAAAATGGACCTTTTGAAGGTCCCTGCTCTCATCTTTCTGGTTGTCCTGATTTAAGGGGATATCCTCCTGGGTTCTTTCTTTGCCCTTCTTCCCTGGTTCCGATGAGCGATGTGCAGGTAATGTTAAAGGCATATGGACCCATGAGGAATTATACAATGTGAGGTTAAGCTTGACAGCTTCCACAGACTGTCTGAGTCTGTGGATTTCTTCTTTAAGAGACGGCAGTGATCCATAGGTAGTATAAATATTATTATATAGGTACTGCAGTAGTCTCTGATTGAAGTCCTGACCTCCGAGCTTATTGTTACCTGTGAAGGTAAAACAAAGGAAAAAAGTATAGTCTAGTATAAACCTCCAACAACTAATATATTCTAAATTTCATAGGACTGCACAACCCACCCAAAAAAAAAAATCAAAATCAGTTTTTAGAAAGACCATTTTTGCCCAGAAGACCTATGTGTATGCATCCTTACTGCTGACCGATGAGGTCATTCCACTCACACCCTAGCCATAAGCGGCTTTAATGGGTTTCTGTGTTGTGCTGAAGTGGCAAATCATACAGCATATGACAAGCAGTAGCCTCAAAGCTGCTTATTTCAGATAGCTGATCAGTCTTTAGCATGAACGGTCATCATTAGCTCTCAAAAGCTGTGTACTAACAAATAGATTATTGGACAAAATCTCCAAATGCTTTTTCCCCCCTTCTGATTTACTCATTATGTGTACTAGGCTTTATATTCCCTCCTAGATTGTAAGCTTGAAAGAGCAGGGCCCTCAATCCCCTCATGTTTTGCATTGTATTGGTATTGTTCTGTCACATGTTCTGTCCCCCTTTGTAATGTACAGCGCTGAGCAAACTATTGGCGCTTTATAAAATACTATAATAATAATAATAATAATATGTTCATAGTAAGCAAAACTAAACATTTTACTCTACTTACAGATGACAGTTCAAAAGCGTGTTGAGTCATAAGAGAACAAGATGGACAACAAATTGATTTGTTGTCTCACCTCCCAAAATCACATTGGTCAGGAAAATGCTTTCTCTATGAACTTAAAGAGGTGTTAAAGTGTTACTAAACCCAGGATCCTGCATCCACTACATCTGGTCTCACACAGTACACAATTATTTTAGTAAATAATAATATAAATATAAACTGCTAAATACCTTTTCTCATCAGCAGTTACAGCAGTCTTGTGGCTTCTATCAGTGTCCAGCACTAGCTAAAGCCTGTAGGAGGAGTTTTCTTTTCTGCGCTAGGAGGATGCAGAACCCCTGACCCTGTCTGGACAGTGCTGATTGGTCCTGTGCTGACCACATGCACTCTCCCAAAAAAAAAAAAAAAAAAAAAAAAAAAAAAAAACCTATCTAGCAATATACACCAAACTGAGCATATGCATGCCTCTGGTTCAGTCTGGAGAGAAGTGGTGGTCGCTTGAAAAAGGGGAGGAACAGAAGAAAGGATCAAACAGCCTTTTTACACAATGCAGAGGATTAACCCCTTCGTTTCCACAGTGAGTATAACAAGCATGCTTTACTGCATATACAAACTGATTTTTTCTGTTGTGGGTTTAGTATCACTTTAAACCCAAAAATGTAATATAAATAAGTTGTGGCGACTACATTACTGTGTTATTTCTAAGGCTTTTTTCACATTTTTTTTTTAACCTGGTGATCTGGTCAGTAACACACCACCTGTAATAGAAGGCCCCACGCTGGATGAAGGAGCACAGGGGGCACCTTTAGACAGCAGTATTGTTAATCTGAGGGGAGTGTTAGATGTATTAGCAGATTTAGATACAAATAAACTAAAACCAAACTTAAGCTCACATTTTATAAGCAGTTACAGCAAAGAGTTTTTTTTGTTTTTTTTAACTTTTGGGATAAAGGCTTTACATAAATAAAGGCTGATCATTGTAAGCACCCCTGCTAGTGTTAAATGGTTTGTTTCATCTCTAATTGATACATTCTGCAGGACAGCTTGTTCTTTTGAAAAACAGACTTACTGCCTAGCTCACCAGAGGAAATTGTGAGAAAGAAAGCCTAGAAAAGAAAATGAATGCAGCGATCACATCTAAAAAATGGTAAACCGCAATGTAACAAATGTATGCTTTTGTGTTTAATACAGCTTTAACTAATCTTAAAATGCAAAACCTCTACCCTGCCTGTGTTGGCCTAATTAGTTTGCACCTGCAATCCAACTCAAAATTATAGGACAAAGCTTATAAAAGGATGGTCATGGAAAATAAAGATTGTAAGAGATTGGTTCCATTTTTTTTACTTTACATCAGCAAAAAGAAAACTTCCTTGAGTGCCATGCAGGGGCGGACTGATCATTTGGAAACTCGGGCAGTGCCCGAGGACCCGGGGGTCAGTAAGGGGCCCCATGAGATGCCCCTGGTACCTTTTTCATAGGCTTTTTTTTAGTTTGGGCAAGGACACAGGGGGCCCCATGATCCCCTATTGCCCGGGGGCCCCATGAGTTATCAGTCCGCCCCTGGTGCCATGTATGTCAGAGTGTATCTAAACCCAGGAATAAAAAAGCAATTATATTGCAGCTTACCAGTTCTTAGATTTGGCGGCTACATTCATGTTTCTTTCAGACAAGTACAGAAAAAACTGATCTGGTCAGAAATCCATTGTTCATGCAACTTCCTGAGCACTGAACTGATATCCCAAACAATGTTAACGTTTCCAGCTATGTAAACGGCAAACTCTTTCCCAATGTAAAGTTGGAGCGATGAGGAGATGTATGTAGTCCAAATCAGAGCTGCTTAAAGGTGACACTGATCCTCAGTAGACACAGTGCAGTAAGCAAGCATGGTCACCCCAGGACAGGAAGTGTGTTACTAGCAGGATCACTAGCTGAAAAAGCAAAGCCCAGACCCAAAGCCAATTGATACTTTTGTAATGACCTAACGGTCGTAAAGGTGGTGGGGTTGGTCTGCTCCTGTCACCGCAGAGCACCTTCCGAGTCCTCCCAAACCCCCCCCTCCCTATCCTTCTCCTCCTTCGAGGCCCACTGTGTCCGACTATTCTCCCCAACCCCCCTGAAGATTGCTGTGATATACTGGCCTCCTGGATCCATACCCCGCTTCCTGGATGACTTCTCCTCCTGGCTACCCTTCTTCCTCTCCTCTGAGCTACCCACCATAATTCTTGGGGATTTCAACATCCCTGTCAACCTTGACAACCCGGACACAGCCCGTCTCCTCCACTTAACCTCCTCCTTTGCACCTGCACAGTGCATACAATCCACCACCCACTCCGACGGGTAATATCCTTGATCTTGTCTTCTCCAACCGCTGCGCTCCCCACAACCTCACTAACACCCCCTTCCCTCTCTCTGACCACAACCTGATCACCTTCTCTATCTCCTCGTCCTCCAACGCCTACCCCTCCAAATGTCACACTACTACCAGCCGTAACCTCCGCAACCTTAACCCTGCCTCCCTCCACTCTGCAGCTGATCAACTCCATGACCGCATCCTCCCCCTGTCCTGCCCCGACTTGGCTATGACTGCCTACAACAACGCGCTGTCAACAGCCCTTGACTCACTAGCGCCTTTAACCACACGCAACATCAGACTCCGACCGCTCCAGCGCTGGCAGACGGATCACACCAAAACCCTCAAACGACGCAGTCGTGTCCTGGAGCGACTATGGCGCAAAACAAAATCCCAACAAGCTTTCACCTGCTACAAATCTGCCTTCCGCACCTACACCTCCTCCCTCCACGCAGCCAAACAAGCCTACTTCCTGACCCTCATCAAGGCCCTCTCCTCCAATCCTCGCCGACTCTTCTCCACCTTCAACTCTCTACTCTCTCCACCCCCACCTCCACCCAGCACCTCACTCACCGCCCTTGAGATTGCCAATCACTTCAAAAACAAGATTGACACAATTCGCAAGGACATTGCCGCAACTCACACGCCCTCTCAACCCGTCCCCTCTCACACAGCTACCCCCTCATCCCGCCTCCCCCTCGACATTACCCGCAGGGACTTCGTCACTGCTCAAACTCCCTCCAACCCCGTTCCCCCTCACCCAGCTACCCCCTCTACACCCCTCTCCCACGGCCCCACCACTGCTCTGACCTCCACTCCCACCCCACCCTACATTCCTCATACTGAAGCTCTCCCCAACACTCCACACCTTTGACCTTACTACCATCGAGGAAGTCTCCAAGATCCTCTCTGATGCCCGCCTCACCGCCTGCCCCCTCGACCCTATCCCCTCACAACTCCTATGACCTCCCTCCCCCTCCATCCTACGCTCCCTCACCCACATCTTTAATCTCTCCCTCTCCTCCGGCACTTTCCCCTCCCCACTGAAGCATGCACACATCACCCCCATACTTAAAAAGCCCTCCCTGGACCCCAATGATCCGAACAACCTCAGACCCATCTCCCTGCTCCCACTTACATCTAAACTCCTCGAGCGCCTCGTCTACACCCGCCTATGCTCTCACCTCAACGAGAACAACCTCCTCGATCCCCTACAGTCTAGCTTCCGCCCCCTACACTCCACCGAAACCACCTTACTCAAACTCTCCAACGACCTTCTAACCGCCAAAGCTAATGGCCACTATTCAGTGCTCCTACTCCTTGACCTCTCTGCGGCCTTCGACACAGTTGACCACCCCCTCCTCCTCAAAATACTACACTCCCTCGGCCTCAGAGATTCTGCTCTCTCCTGGCTCTCATCCTACCTGTCACAACGCTCTTTCAGCGTTACCTATAATGCTACCACCTCCCCCTCACTCCCCCTGTCTGTTGCTGTCCCTCAAGGCTCTGTCCTTGGGCCCCTTCTCTTCTCCATCTACACCTCCTCCCTTGGCCAACTCATACACTCTCACGGCTTCAACTACCACCTCTATGCCGACGACACACAAATCTATCTCTCAACCCCCCACCTCACCCCCTTGGTCTCAGCCCGAATCACACACCTACTGAGCGACATATCAGACTGGATGTCGCTCCACTTCCTTAAATTGAACCTCTCCAAAACCGAGTTTCTTGTCTTCCCCCCAGCCCGGACACCACCCCCCATTGATTTCTCCGTCACATCCAACGACGCTACCATCAAACCCGCCCTGCAGGCCAGAGTACTGGGTGTCATTCTGGACTCCAACCTATCCTTCCAGCCCCAAGTCCAATCTTTAACAAACTCGTGCAGACTCCACCTCCGCAACATCGCCAAAATCGCACGTTCCTAACCCCAGAAACCACTAAACAGCTCATCCACTCCCTCATCATATCACGACTCGATTACTGCAACTCCCTCCTCACTGGCCTGCCTCGCCGCTGGCTATCCCCGCTTCAGTCGATCCTGAATACGGCTGCCAGACTCATTCACCTTTCCAACCGCTCCATTTCCGCCACCCCCCCTCTGCCAATCCCTCCACTGGCTTCCGATTGCGCAACGGATCAAATTTAAAATCCTAACACTGACGTACAAAGCTGTCCACCATACTGCCCCGAACTACATCACTGACCTAATATCCAAGTACCGCCCAGCACGCACACACTCCGCTCGCTCCTCACAAGACCTCCTTCTCTCTAGTTCCCTGGTCTCCTCCTCCCATGCCCGCCTCCAGGACTTCTCCAGGGTGTCACCCATCCTCTGGAACTCCCTTCCCCAACCCATCAGATTATCACCTACTCTCCTCTCCTTTAGGCGTACCCTGAAAACCCATCTCTTCAGGGAAGCCTACCTCACCCCCTGCTAACTTGCCGACCTCCTCCACTCTTCCTACCACTCCATCCCCCACAGCTATCTCCTCCTGTACCACTATCCCATCCCTTCTAGATTGTAAGCTCGAAAGAGCAGGGCCCTCAATCCCCTCATGTTTTGCATTGTATTGGTATTGTTCTGTCACATGTTCTGTCCCCCTTTGTAATGTACAGCGCTGAGTGAACTATTGGCGCTTTATAAATACTGGATAATAATAATAATGATAACCTAAAGGGTGTTATCTAAAGCCAGAAAGTTTTTCATTTTGGATAGAATAGGAAAGGGTTAAAAATAAATATCTGACAGTAATTCTAACCCTTCACCACTATCCAAACAAAAATTAAAAAAAAAAAAAAAAAAAAAAAAAAAAAAAAAAAAAAACCAGTTACGCCTTAACTTACACTTTAATCTGGTCTCATAAGAACATAAATGTGTCTGTTTACCTGCCATAGCTCGAGTTAGGAACATTCCTCCTTGTTTATTTAATAGAGACACATCCAACGTTCCTCCTCCCAGATCAACCACAAGGACATTGAATACATCAACTTTATGTAGCCCATACGCCATTGCTGCAGCTGTGGGTTCATTGATGACTCGCAAAATATCCAGGCCTGAACAAGGAAAACAAGATAGCTATGAAATAGTCAGCAATACCATAGGGAAAAAAAGAAAACAAAAACATGAGAACAAGCCTTATTGATCACTGTTTGCCATGAAGAAATGCTCCTTTTAACTAAAGCAGCCAATCAGATTGTCATTTTCACTCTTCCAAAGCAAGAGAAGAGAAAACAAAGACTCCAGATTGGTTAAGGACATAAAAAAGGACCAATACCTCCTTTAGATATCTTTTTATATCCTTTTCCAAATTTATAAAAGTTCCATTACCTTGTAAACGCAGTTTGACAGTTCTTTTCTGCTCTCATAGCTTAAGATCTGCCTGCTCAGTGCATCCAGATGAGAGCTAAACTCATTGACTAGTTATACAAAGACACCAATTGCAATTTAATAAGCCACAGATGTGGGAAATTAACCTTTAATTGCCATTATAACCTGTGTGTCACCCCATGTGTCAAATATTCCAGGGTATGTGTTCATGGAAACTTTTAATCCGGGCCATTTGGGTGATTTCTTTTATCGCTATGATTTAAGAAGGAGCCAAGGAACTATGATAATAAATGGCATCATATGATCACTATCCTTAAATAAAAAGACAGTTAGTTTAGCATGATCAGTCATATTTTCAATATGAAACGCCAAAATGTCATGATTTCTGCCAAGGTATGCAAACTTTTGAGCACAATTGTATTTCAAGGGTTCCTCTGTGTTGAACAGGTTGAGAGACTGATGTAGAGGGTCTTTTCAGTCAATGTAAGGGGACACCTCTCTTACAGAATGCAAGGGGACCCTTTAGTGAACACCAATGTAAGGAGGCATTTCCGCATAGAACACAAATGTAAGAAAGTCTGGGTTTTCTACATTCATTTTTAACTTTGTACATACCATTGATCATTTAGGAAAAATATTTGGGTGTCAATTACTCTAAGTATGCCATATTCTTTATTAAATAAAAATAGAACCCCCCTCTGCACTATTAGTACTCACAACTAAAAAATAAATACAATTAAAAAAGAAGTCAAATTGAATCAGGAAAGCAGCTACCACCCAACTGTGCAATCACTTCACTGTGTTAAGGAATCAAAATCAAATACTGGTGAAATGCTTCCAATATGACATAAATCAAATATATCTCATACCATATCTCTTTATCATAAACAGATTCCCCCCAGTATTCAGTATCCTTTTGTGCAAAAGTCCCATACACCAACCAATCTTCAATCGATATAGTAATTCTTGTCAGAACAACAATATGACAGTGTAAACAAACACCACTGTGCCCTTCACCACACCTCATGGGTATCTCCTCACCTTATATCATGAACCCCACTGCAAAATGAGGGTCAATTGCGCTTTTATATTGGAGACCACAATCCTCTAATATAAAAGCGCAAGTGGCCCTCCTTTTGGGGTTCATGATATAAGGTAAGTAGATACACATGAGGTGTGGTGAAGGGCACAGTGGTGTTTGTTCATGCTGTCATATTGTTGTTCTGACAAGAATTATTATATCGATTGAAGATTGCACATATTGGTTGATGTATGGGACGCTCAGATTGGAATATATGTTTTTGTTTTTTAATGCTTTAGGAGCTGTGTGTGATATATATTTATATATTTTTTTTTTTTCCCCAGGGGTTAAAAAGGTTGGGAAAGACTGATCTTGAGGAAACGCTGATCTTGAGGAAACACTCAGAGAGAACTTACAATCTCCATGCTGATAGGGAGGTCGGTTTACTAAAGGAAAATACTGTATACTGTGCACTGGAAGTGAAGTTGCTCTAGGTCTGAGGGGGAAGCTCTGAAATATAGGGAAGCTCTAAGTTCCATCATCCAATCATATGCATGCAAATATGCTGTTTTTTACTTTCCTTGAATGTTCCCCTCAGATCTAGAGCAACTGTACTTTCAGTGCACTTGCGGTACACCGATTATTTGGCTTTAGTAAATCAACACCACTGTCTTTGGTGGGAACTGAATCCAAGCCTCCAGCGCTAGCTGGAACCGTGGTTAGGCTGGAATAGCCCGACAAGCCTCAAATGTACTTAGAAATTTGCAGGGGCAATCTAACTAAAGTCCAAACTGTAATGACCACTGACAACTGTTTATTGTATAGACCAGGGGTGCTCAACCTCTTGCAGAGTGAGGACCACTTCAGTGATTCAGTAATTGGTCGCAGGCCACAATAAAATGGTCCTAGAATTTCACATTTTTTTTATTTTGAATAGCATAATGAACATTTTCCTCCTAATCCCGCTGAATAGCAGCAGGATGGAGAGGAGGAGAATCTGGTTTTCAGTGGTTGTAGGAGGAAAATAGAGGATAGGTTTCTGTATTTGCCACTCCTCCTGTCCAAACTTAAAGCAGAATATGACAGGGAGACCACACGGGCCCCCTGGAGCATGGGGTGGGTGGAGTTACCATTGCAACCCCTTACTCAACACCAGTGGATTAGTGCTGGCTTTAAAAACACGTCTCTCAACTATGGGGCTTTAATGCCTTTAAATCACAAATGTAAACAAGCTCTTACTGTCCTGAGCACCATAGAAGGCTGCTTTTGCATTGATGTATGATGGTTTACCCGCACCACACCTGCGGCTTTCCTACGGTTAGCTGTGCTTTGCAGTAGACTTCTATTATATGTTGCAGGTGTGGTGCACTTTTTGAAAGTGCACCAAATATCCTGCATTCAGAAGTTTTGGTGCACTTTGAAATCGATCAAACCTACAGGATATACCAGGAGTGTGCTTCCCTGGTCTGAGAAGAGGGCCACGGGTTGAGCACCCCTGGTATAGACAATTCGATATGACACCGATGCTGTGGTCCATCTTCTAGAAGACCTGCATAATCCTCTAACCCACTGACACATTTCAATTCACTACACAAAGCAGTGTTAGAAAGAGCAGAGAAGATGCTGTAGCCAGTGAATCTTACAGAGATACTGAAGAGATAAAGATCCTTGTTAGTTCAGCAACACATCAGATTCCATCCAATGCTGGCTCTCAGCATAGTGACAATTTTATAAGCATAACATTACATACTGCAAAAATAATATGCTGGCCATCAATGTTATCTGTGTCTCAGATACATTTCATCTATGTGACAAAACCACCAATAGGATCACTCACCAGCCATGTTAGCTGCCTTTACAGTATAGTTGCGCTGTCTTTCATCAAATTCAGCTGGAACTGAAATAACAGCCTTAGACACAGGAATACCAAGGTATTTTTCTGCCATCTTCTTTAGATTTAAAAGTAGCCGAGATCCAATGTACTCTGGGGTGACAGTAAAGGTTTCATTGGTTTTGATTGAATACACAGGTTCACCATCGTTGTTCAGAACCTACAGACAGAGAATGCAGCATACAGTCAATGGACTTTATACTGCTAAGAAACCACTTAAAGAATTATTGTCAAACTAAACTAACATAAAGGGACAGCTTTATCTTTGGATATTAATGTCCACTCTTGCATAGAACTACAGTGGACAGTTTATCATTACTATAGACCTTTCTCAATGCAACAGGAAGAGGGGTCAGCTGCACGCTGGAGGATTGATGAATATAGTGTATATTTATTGATCCATAGGATACACAAAACACCTGGACATGAATACAAGACCTGCTAACGCATTTCACACGATTTCGTGCTTAATCAAATAATAGACCTTTCTCAATCCAGATTCAAACCTGTAGTGGAAAAACGACAGTAAGATTCTGATTAGCACTATGTTACATGAGGTCCATCAGGAGCAAAAACTAGTCACTTCTTGCTGCAGGTCCCAAAGTTTAGTTAGAAGACTTTTCAATGCAACCATCAATGGGAATTCACAAACAATCCATATATATTTAAATGCTAAATATTCTCCTAGCGTTTGTTTTAGGCCTTGTATTATTCAGTGATGAAGATGTTAGTGCATGTGTGCATTGAAGTAGGAAATTTAGCCACGTGCCAACAAGCTCAATCTGCACCCCTAGGGCTCACATGCATCCCGTTGGCACAGTGTAGCCTCCGGTTCCTGTAGACAAGGGGTCTGTTTTTTTGTGTATGCTCAGGTCAGTAAAAAACTTCTTCTGAAGTAAATCAAAATAGTTAAAAGGAAAAGTACAGCCAAATCTATTTCGTTCTGCACCCGTGACCCGTTTTCAGCCGACATTGGGCTAAAGTCCCCAGTCGGCTGACGTTACCCAATCGATCCGCCCTCTGAGAAGATCCTGCCCATATGGATGAAGAAGCCTGAACCAGCACCTGACTCAGCCTCTCAGCAGTCCACTGAGAGCCTGAGCCAGCCCGGTGCCCAAGTGAGTGCTGGAGGACAGACCAGAGATCCGGTGGCTGACAAGTCACAGCTCTCTGCTTAGAGCGGAGGGGAGAACTGAGTGTTCAGCGGTGTCTGATCTCTCAGTTCTCACTACAGAGGATCCATGCCACATCCACCTAGGTGGGTATAAAATGTTTTTTTTTTTTTATAAAGTCCATACTTCTGTTTTAATGGTTTGGCTTATTTCCTTCACACTAACTTAAAGTGGCATATGCACATTTTAAAAGCGGTAGGGAGCACAAATGTGGGAAGCAGGGATTTGTAAAGTGGTTGTAACAGCACTGATCTCTGGCAGTCTCATGTAATGTGCCTCCAGTCCATGATTGTCTCCTAAAGCATCTCTCTAGTCTCCAACAACTCCTATAGAAGATTAGTAGCCTCTGACATTTATTTGCAGCATTCTATTAACTAAACTTTATGCGGCCCTTTCAGGGTCCACACTTAAGACTTCCTAAACCAAATATGTTGACCAACATGGTTTTATACCAGGGTATGGATGTGCTTCGAGAGGGATTATTGCTACCTGTACCCCCCTCCTTCACATCAGAGACTGCTGCTTCTACTGTCAGAACACAGTATTAAATAACAGGGTCTTCTTACTGCACTGTCCTCTTGCTCCTGTCTCTCCTCATATCGACAGCCAGATCAGCTGAAGATAATAATGATATGTATTGTAATCTTCCATTTCACAACCATTGCTAATTCAAAGTGCACACAAACGAACCAGCAAATTTATCAGCAGAAAATGCTTTAGACCAGTTAATAATGAGAGTTTGTATTGGTCCACCATCAATTCTCCAATCCACCAATTGTTCTCTTAGATATTGTTTGGGAGAGGTGGAACAAGTAAGAGCAAGAGGGCTAAATAAGTGCACAAATGAAGCTCCATTTTTAATTCTCTGCTACAGAATTCAATGTGAGCTATCTGGTCATCACTGTCCTGTACTTTTATGAAAGATATTGCATAGACAATAGTGCACCCCTAAACAATGGTTTAATTTGGGTCACATTCTCTTTGAAGGGCAGTGTACAGTCTTACCTTGAATGGATACCTGTCACTCTCCTTCTCCAACTCCTCAGGACTAAAGATTTTTCCAATGAATCTTTTGGCATCATATATGGTATTCTGAGGATTGGAATCTGCAAGCTCCAGGCCTTCATATCCCACATATATATCCTTCTCTGTAAAAGACACAATGCTTGGTATACTCTGGTGACCACCATCGTCCATGATGACTTTCACTTCTCCTGTACCAGGATGGAACACCCCAACAGAACAGTATGTGGTTCCAAGATCTATGCCAATAACTTTTGGAGTGGGTAAAGGCAAATATTGCTGTGCCAAATATCCAGCTAACAGAAGGGCCAAAATGGCAGAACCTAGAGAGGAAATGTAGAAAAAAAAAGATATTTAGTAAAAATATTAAAAAGCAACTGCAAGCAACAAATGAAAGCAATCAAGGAACTTTTACAAAGCCAGAAAATTCATTAGTATAGAGTTCACTGCAGCCAGATGTCACAGAGCTCCATACATGTGGCATGGGTAAGGCAGCCCATACACTTATTAGCGCTGCAATCTAATCACTTGAGTTCCAGAAGATTTCACCCGCTTCATGACCAGGCCATTTTTTTTTGCTATTCAGCACTGCACTACTTTAAATGCTAATTGCACGGTCATGCAATACTGTACGCAAATTAAATTTGTATCAATTTTTCACACAGATTGAGATTACTGATGGTATTTGATAAAACCACTGGGTATTTTGCAATAAAAAAAAAATAAAAAAAAAAAAAAAAAGGATCAATATTTTCTACTGTAATAAAACATATCCAATAAAATCAAATTTTGTCACAAATTTAGGTCAAAATGTATTCTGCTACAGCTTTAGTAAAAAAAAAAAAAAAAAATCCCAATAAGTGTATATTGATTCGTTTGTGCGAAGGTTATAGAGTCTACAAACTATGGTATATACAGTATGTTTGAAAATTGATCAGTCCTGATGTACCGTTGGCCTTTCTCATTTCTTGATGCCCTAAAATCCCAGGACAGTGCAAATACCCCCCAAATGACCCCTTTTTGGAAAGTAGACAGGCCAAGGTATTTAGTAAGAGGCATGGTGAGTTTTTTTGAAGTGGGAATTTGTCACTTTTTTTAAATTAAGAAATTGAAAAATAAATTTGTTTTTTGTCCCACTTTTCTTTTTTTTACATAATGTCACCAGTGCAGAGCAGCATCATCATATGACTGATGTGGTGATGATCAGGGACACTGGCCGGTGACAGTATGTTTAAAAACAAATATATAAATAATTTTTTAAAAGTTTTTTTCATTTGTTGCCATTTTTAAAAATGTTTTATCAATGTTTTTTTTTTTTTTTAACATACATTCATCGTAGTTCATTGTCACCTTAGTAACACTGTACTGCTCTGAGGGGGGTGATCAGGGATTTTTTTTTCTTTTACCAATTTGTTTTCTGTTACAATGAAGATAATTGTAACAGTAGTTTTCAACAGTTTAAATACCTCCAGCATGTTTTAAAACAACAAGAAAAGTGGTTCCCAAATCACAAAAAAAAAAAAAAGTTATTAGGGTTAAAAAGGATACCTTCACCTTGTCCATGCAAGAAAATATCAATTTTTCTAATACAGAGAAGATGTAGAAGAGACATCTTTTTTAGTCCATATAGTATCCTCCCAGTGTATTTGTTGTCATCTGCACCAGCTTGTTTATATTCCTCCATTATTTAACAGTGCACACAATCAGAATGCAGATGTGATCAGCAAAAAGTGTCAGTATCAGCAGCCATTAACAGAACAATAGCAAACAAACAACCTTCATTGCCTCCTGCTCTATCACTTGTGATATAACCTCCCAGCTATGACAAATGCTTTCTCAGTGTCTGATACTCACAGAGGATGGCGTTGTGATTCAAGAAATGTTCTGTGGTATGTCAGCACCACAACAGAATATAACCACTTTAAGTCCAGGCCTTTTATGACACTTTTGTTTACATGTGAAAATCAGTATATTGCTAGAAAATTACTTAGAATACAGACACACACACACACACTTTATTTCAGGTACTTATATAGCGCCGTCATTTTACGCAGTGCTTTACATATATATATTGTACATTCACATCAGTCCCTAACCCTCAAGGGGTGTACAATGTAAGAGTCCCTAACTTACATTCATACATACACATACTAGGGCCAATGTAGACAGGGTCCAATTAACCTACCAGCATGTCTTTGGAGTGTGGGAGGAAACCGGAGTACCCAGAGGAAACCCACGCAGGCACAGGGAGAACACGCAAATTCCAGGCAGGTGGTACCGTGGTTAGGATTCGGACCAGCGACCCTAGTACTGCCAGGTGCAAGTACTAACCATTAAAGTACTATTCATTAACAGCTGGCCAGTAACACATCTCCTGTATTAGAGTGCCCCCACTCTGGATGAAGGGACACAGGGGTACCTTTGGACAGCAGCATTGTCAGTCTGAGGGAAGGGGAGTGTTAGATGTACTAGCAGATTTAGATACACTAACAAACTGAAGCTACACTCCAGCTATCTATAAGCAGTTATAGCAACCATTTCCCTTTAGGGATAAAGATTTCATGTCAATAAAATCTGACCATTGTAAGCACCTCAGTCAGGCTCAGTTCCCACTCCTGCGACCCCAAAGTTGTGCAACTTCCAGTGCAGCTTTGCATTGAGATTTGATTGCGACTTGATGGGACTTTGATGTTTTCAGACTTTGGCCAATCATAACAATAGAGTGTGACACATATTATTGAACTTACAAAACCTCTTAAGCTGCAACGAAAGTTGAAAAGATAAGGCAAAGAAATTACTTCCTTGCAACATTTGTGATTTTAACATTGCAGTCTATGGCACCCATGTCGCAAGGAAGATGCAGAGACGTAGTGCAGGAACTATTTTTTTTACTGTTTTTGCTTAATTGCTGTCGCAATTAAGACAGCACCCATTGAAATAAATATGTTTTAACTTGTTATGCGACTTTCTGTGTCACATGTCACAGCAAGTCACATGAGAAGTCCCAGCAGTGTGAACCAGGGATAAATTTTTGTCTCAAGTGTTACTTCTGCCAGACAACTTGTTCTGGTGAAAAACAACAGCCTTAGGCTAGATTAACAGGGTGTTTTTTTTTTTGGCCAACTTTTTGCTGGGCAGATTAAAACAACACAAACATACTACTTGCATTTCTGCAGCGTCTCCATTGAACTCTATTGAACCAAAACACACAGTTTTGCATTTTAAAAAAAAAGTCCCTGACCCTATCCAAAAAAAATCGTACCGATTGAAAACACGGAGATGTGAATGTCACTCATAGGAAATCATGGACCAGATCACCAGGAGAAAATAAAGCCTAAAAAAAAAAAAAACTACTGCAGCCATCACATCCAAGAATTGGTAAGCTGCAATATAATAAATGTTTGCTTTTGGGTTTAATACCACTTTAAAGTCAATTCACTAAAAATCATGCTCATTCATACTTATGTCATGGGCCCCTGTCTATACGCAAACAGGGGCCCAGGTGACTACCAATCTCCACGAGGGGGGGGGGGGGGGGGGTCCTGTCTCCAGTGACTACCACCTCCATGAAGATACCATCTCCACGGAGGAGGGGGGTCCAGTACCCGGTGGCTACCTTCTCCATAAAGTGGGGGGGGGGTCCTATACCCGGTGACTCTACGTAGGGGCCTTCTGCCCTACATAGGGGAGGTCCTGTACCCAGTGACTACCTTCTCCACGTAGGGGAGGGGAGGTCCTGTACCCAGTGACTACCATCTCCATGAAGGGGGAGGTGTTCTGTCCCCAGTGACCACCATCTCCATGAAGGGGTTCTGTCCCCGGTGACCACCATCCCTATGAAGGGGGAGGGGTTCTGTCCCCAGTGACCACCATCTCTATGAAGGGGGAGGGGTTCTGTCCCCAGTGACCACCATCTCTATGAAGGGGAGGTCTTGTACCCAGAGACTACCATAACCATGACCTGCAGGCTACCATCTCCAAGGGGGGGGGGGGGGGGATCCTGTCTCCAATGACTACCAGTGTTCTCATCATATAAATGGAAGGACTGAGGATGACTGGTAATGGTAGCAGACGGGTAGACCTGGCTCTGTCCACCACTGGGTCTTCACCATATAATAATATTATTACCTAGCTCTGTACAGGGTGTGACCCCCCTCTCCCTCCAGTGATGTGACCCCCCCCTCCCTCCAGTGATGTAACCCCCCCTCCCTCCAGTGACGTGACCCCCTCTCCCTCCAGTGACGTGACCCCCTCTCCCTCCAGTGACGTGACCCCTCCAGTGATGTGACCCCCTCCAGTGATGTGACCCTCTCCCTCCAGTGATGTGACCCCCTCCCTCCAGTGATGTGACCCCCTCCCTCCAGTGATGTGACCCCCCCCCTCTCCCTCCATTGATGTGACCCCCATCTCCCTCCAGTGATGTGCGACCCCCTCTCCCTCCAGTGATGTGACCATATGGTGCAGTATCCATGACAAGGTAGAACACACATGACTCTCAGTGGCAGGACATGCTAGCACTTGTAGTTCCCCCACACCAGGCCTCTCCTGACTCACCCAGTATAGTCATCTCCCCCGCCATAGTGTACACTGACCGGCCCGGAGCGCCACTTCCTCCAATGCAGACAGATCGGTTTCCTGCTCCGCTCACTGATGACTGTACATTACACAGGGGCGTGACGTCACTGTGTGCCGGGAATCCGCCCCCGACTGGGCGGAACGCACAGACTAACACGTGTTCCGCCCTCTGCGCAGGCGCGAGCATAACCATTTTTGCGCTGTAGGTGTGCGGACGGAGGTGATGGCGGAATGTGTGTCTGTAGTAAATGTTAGCCGTGGGTGCGCGCTCTGCACACTGCTGTGCTCCTGACACCCATCCCGCCAACCGTGCACGAAACAGGCAACCTTCGTTCCCCTACATGGCACATGATTAACCCTCTCGCTGCCAGAGCTGTTTGTTTTGTATTCTAGGTGTCGGAGCCCTGATTTTTCCATTAAGAGTACCTGTCACTGGTCAAAGCTGTCACAGGGGGGTGCTTGTTAGCCCTCTTGTGATAGTAATAAAGGTAGATAGAAAGTGTAACTAGAAATTCAGAAATAAAATAGCAAAAATAAAAATGAAAAGCAGCCTTGTCCCCTGACCCATGTGCACCAATGTGTGTAGGCCCCAATGGCCGTGTAAACAGCAACTGAAGGGAGGCATGACTGCGGTTGTCAGACTGACAGCAAGAATTCAATGGCCATGATTCATGACTGACTGGAGTCGGATGACCTGTACAAAAATGTAGGTTCTGGAGTTTGTTGCCATTTCTCAGACACACAATTCAGAG